ATATTCAAATTTAATAACTAAGTTTTAATTCAAAATATTGATCATGTTTGAAGAAACACCCATTTTCCTTCTAAGACTCAAAGGAACATGAAGAATTGTTTTCAAAACAGTAGGAGGAGGCATGGTGGAGTAATGGATAGCAGCTCAGATTGAATCAGAGAGTCAAGTTCGAATTCCAGTCAAAATCCATTACATTCACTTACATGCTAATACCCGTGGGAAAGGTATGAATCCTCTTCTTCTCCCCACCCCCAGCTATGGGTAAATAACAGGACAGACCAGGATGGCAGCTGGTCTACCACAGAAAGAAATGACAACCTACTGTAGAAAAAAATCTGCCTCATCAGTCATGTATTGAAAGATACATGATTGTCTAAGCATGTTTCACACATGGCACATAACTGACTGCCTTTCCATTCATTCAAGAAATAAATGAGAATAAACATTTTTTAATATCCAAAAGATATATTTATTATTTTCTGTCAGTAACATTAACAGTAGTAATGGTAACAGTGGAATTAGCAGTTTCTTTGTATGGAATCAGTTGGTATTCATTGACCTAGCAGTCAGTGCTACACCATGGGGCTAGGATCAAAGTATAATATCTGTTCTCTTATCTCTAATTGTAATGTTAATATTAGCCATTTCCTTATAGGAAACATTCAGCATTCATTGACCAAGTAGCCAGAGTTACTGTTGGATGAAATTTATAAAATCTTTTCCCTAAAACAGTTTTTAAGGAAAATAGGTTTCTCAAGTCCTGTAGTTGCTATTGCTCTTTCTAGTATTGATGCAAAGTTTATTTCCTAATATTTTGTTTGAAGTAGTGTGGAAAGCCATCTTAATTATGTCATTATTTTTTTCTTTGAGTTACATGTGCTATCCATTTTAGTTGTTGCTGCTGTTGAAAGTCTTCAAGTGATGTAGCTTTTGTTACTTGGTGAAATTCTTTGTGATAATAACATATTCTATTCAATTATTTAATAGCTAGATATTATCTTATGCAAAAATTTAGGTCCTCTTAAATTGCATCTCAGTTAATATTGAATAAACTTTTCTCTTACTTAAAAAAAATTCACACACTCACAAATTTAAAAAAAAAAATAAATTTCAACCAGCTTAACGAAGGTCTAATGTGACTGACTCTAACCGTAAGAACCAATATGATACAATATGTCATATTTTTGACTTGGGAATTGATTTTATGGCTAAGATTTGGCAAAAAATTATGAATAGGTGATTTATATAGGAGGGTGGTTTATACAATTCTTCTTGACTAAGCCAAGCTTATGGATAGTTGACTGACCTGATAGTATTTAAGAGTAGTCATGCTGAATGTTTCAAAATGATTTTGCTAGACATTAAAATTCTACTGGTGGATAATTTCCCAAGCTGAACCAACTGGAAATTTTGCATATGAAATTATTCATTTTCAAATATGAATATATTCCAGATCTCAGAATTTGTATTTTCTGTCCTCTTTCTCCTCCTCCACTTCTTCCTTTTCCTCCTCCACTTCCTTCCACTCTTTTACTCTTTCAGAATTCTCTTTTTCTTCTGATTCAACATTCATTTTTTTTTCCTTTTTCTTTATTTCTTTTTTAATCTCA